GTACTTTATTTCTTGGTCCAGCCCACATGTAAAGGTTCTTGATAACCCAATTGTATCTTCTTGACTCTCCCAAGATGGCCCATTGCTTCCTTGATCTTCTATAACTCAAAATTCTCTTCACATAATTAGCATTCTTCATCTAAAACTAAGCCTAACTTGCTCCTTTGATTATGTTGACAACAGGCCCAATCGCATCACTTCAAGTCCACAAGCAAACCGCAAGCCTCCGAAGGTCCCTCACTCCTTCCATACCTCCATGTCGAATAGTCTTTGGTAATTCCGGCAATTAAGCTCAAAATACTAGAAAGTACCTGATAAAGGCGAAAAATAACAAAAAGGAAAAATATGCATAGATATTAACTAAAATGAGATGGAATGAAGTAAATATAAACTAGGAAAAGAAGTGATAAAATGAAGCTATCAGAGGGCCTGCTGATCGTTGAATTTTTTTACCAAGGGTATTTTGGATGATGTTTGAACTATGGTTTTGGGATTTGTTGGGCCATTGGATTTCTGATTTTGGGCTTTGAGTTGCCATTTTGGGCTTTTTGTGCTTTTGGACTAGGCGTTGGTTTTCGGCCAAGTCAGGAAAAGGGTGGAATGGTCTTTTACAGTTTATGAGGTTGGATTATGGATTGGGCCTTCTATTTTGGATTATCGGGATAATTATTGATTAATATTGTATTTTTGTTAGTTGACGCAAGGTTATCAGGTTCACCAACCCGAGCAGGCATTTGATTATCAGCGGATTGAAGTGAGTTTTCCTCACTGTACTTTTGGATCGAAGGCACCAAGGTCGGCCCATGGGATTGTTATCCTGGTTTATCGCATGTTGGTATGCTGTAGTGATATGTTAGATTTGTATCCTGGTATATAGGATGATGCTTTGCTTAGTGATCTGTAAGATCTGCCTGATTGTTTGTTGACTGGTTATATGTTTAGATGTGTATAGGTCGTTGTGGTGTGGGTTGTTTGAAATTGTACTGCTTTGTGATGTCATTCAACAAAACCAGTAATGTTTATATCGATATGTTGTTATGGTTTACTGGGCTTATATGTGTTGGGTTGCGGCGGACCAGTGTAGACTAAAGGCCAAGAGACCCAGGGCGTCCCAGATAGACTGCAGGCCTGAGGGGCGTATCAGTCATGCCGAAGGCCCAGAGAACATTCCAGATAGGTTGAAGGCCCAATGAGGCGTACAAGTTATGTTGAAGGTTCTGTGAGCATACCAGATAGACTGTAGGCCGTTGGGGCATTCCAATCAGGCTGAATGCTTTGTATGCATGCTGTTTGTTGGTATATGTTATCTGTTTGCGTGGTGGTATTTTGGGGGAACTCACTCAGCTTCGTGCTAATAGTTTTGGTTTATGGTTTCAGGTACTTTAGTGGACAGTGGCAAGGCGAAGGCGGGACCGTACACATCCTTGGTTTTACAACTGATTGGATCTTGGGAGACTCTGATTTTAAATAATGTTTTGAAACAATGATTTTTGTAAACATCTTATGAATATGGGTTGTTTTTAAAGTTTAAATTTGTTGTGATTTTTGGGTGTTACAAGTTGGTATCAGAGCCTTGGTTTGAGTGAATTGGAGGAACACTTGTGTGAATCCAGACTCAAACTAGGGAAAAAGGTTTTAAAAAGGGTTTTCAAATTGTTTTTTTTCTAAATAATCAAAGAGGATGCGATGTGTACGATCAGCCGGAGCCAGTAAGTTGACCCCAAGTTACCACACTGATATTTGATATTGTGATATATTAGAACAACATGCTAGTGATAGGCTAGGGATCTTCGGGAATTGCATGATAGAATTTCCTAATCATATGATGCCTGATAGCCTAGGATCTTTCTTTTATGAAATTGACATCATTACTGTACTTGCTTAGTGTATGTATCATAGTTGTACATAACTAAGATTCTATAGCACGAGAATGTTTGATTTGGCCTTATTTCATGTTCTTGTTTGATGAAGGGCTTAGGGTAGGATCAAGTATTCGACTGTCTACAGGATCCAATATTTTGTATGACTAACATACACGAGTCCTGCAGGGTTGGTGGAAATTTCATGAGTGGGTGCAGTATAACGAGGCAGCACGGGGAATGGTTAGCCACTCTTGAGAGAGTCAGGGCGGGTCGAAGGTGTATTCGAGATGCTGGAAAATGGAGATCGAGAACTTCGTATGAGGATCTGTCTGATTTTATTGTGTTTTAGTGTCAATCGACTCCACTGCTCGAATGTTGCTTGCTTTGTGCTTTGTGGGACTCACATTGATGTGAGCCGACAATCAAATGAATACACTAAGTTGCATGCTATGAAGTTTAAATAATCTTAGAGTGAAGTATTCATCCCTATTGCACATCTCTCGTTTGAGTTTAACCGCTGTAGGGTTGGGTCCTTTAGTCGAAAGGTTATTTAAGTTTTGATGCATGTAATGGTATTCATGAAGTGGTTGGCTGACACTGATTGGAGTTCTTCATCAGCTGATGGCAGGGAAGGTGGGGAAATCCTAGGAGAGCCTAGGAAATATTTTAGTGTGGTTGTTTCGCTATTGAGGGGGTATTGGGAAGTATTATTATGGGTAGGTCTCGGAGGACCCGAGAGGATCCTTGAGGAAAGTATGGATAGGTGTGGAGGGTAGTATTGGGCCCGTACTACTGGAAGCACAGGATCCATACTCGAATCGAGGAAAGTTTCGGGGATTCTAAAGGTTGGTCGGGAGAAAATAACATGGTTGGATACCATGATTCGTGGAAGTAGCTATGTATCTGTCGATCTTTGGTTATGGTTGCTCGGGCATGAGGTTGGGTCTGGTAATTTTTCGGCCCCAGTGGCGATATCGATTCGGATTGATGGGTGCAGACCTGGATGAGCTTATTGGTTTCGAGATCTCGAGGGAGTTGGCTCGAGGCCGTGAATTCGAGTCACGTGACTCAAGAATGGAACGACCGTTATGATTGGTTTGGAAATTGCAGATGGGAGTAGAATGGTTGATTAATGGTTTGCTATGTCGCTATCCTTGGTAGGGATTTTGCCCTTTCAGTTTTCCGAGTTTGGGTGAAAGAATGAGCAAGCTTGTGACCTTCAAAGTTAGGGTGTAAGCCCAACTTGGGGTCTGTTGGTCGCGGGGTTTGGCGACAGTATGTCAGCGCAGGAGTGTGCAGGAGGGTTGATGTGTTATGGATGCTTTGTGATGTGATTAAGGATCCATGTTCTTGGGTTATAGCAGGAGAATTATCGGATCGTCGGTTAGGATTGCAGGCAAGGAGAGTGCAATTTGGATCGTAATTCGGTATTTTCTTATGCTTGTGTGTGAAATCCTTAATGTTAAAGTGGTTATAATTGGGAATTTTAGAGGTCTTCAGCTGAAATCTAGAATTCTATTAGGATTTGATTAGTCCTTATCTGGAAGGTTATCCTGTGTGCGTTATTCATTCCAGGGTCAGGGATGGTCGTACATGGATGAGCCGATTTAAGTTATGGTTTTGTTTCAACACCAGTGGGTGGTAGTTCGAACCCTAAGTGGGGGAGAACTGGGTATTCTTCTTGAAGGATCATCGATTTGTTCGAGTTCGTATTATTGGGGGAATGGTTCATAGGGATCTGCGGTACTAGTATGTGGGATCTCGGTTTAGGATTGGGTCAAGGCAGGAGTATATAGTAGGTGGCGATCGGATGTATGTGTTCACGAGACACATGATTTATCCCTTAGCAGAAATTGGTTGGTCAAGGGCTCATTGCAACTATTGGTTCCTTTTGGGGGCGTCAATGAACAGGCGAGGAGCTGATGGGATCACTCAAGTTGAGTATCGGTTGTTGAGGAATTTTTCAACTCGTTGTATGGATTTCTAATTATAGTATAGCTTAGGGATGAGGTCGATCAGGAAATCAGTTTCCGAGTTGGGTACGTTCAGCTCCATGTAAGTTTTGGTTCATTAGATCAAATGTCAATGCGTCCCTGATCATAGGTCATTTCGTTCATCATTTAGCGGAGATCCTCCGAAAGTTTCAAGTGGTGACAGTTGAAGTTCAAGGAATGTGACAGCCTATCATCAAGTTTAGTATGTTTTATGTTCCTTTGGTCTCTGGGTAGGTTTACCCTCAATGGTGGTGTGGAATTTTGGTTTATGGCAGGCTCAGGTTTTGGTAGCATTCAGGATCACCTTGGAAGTCTTCTTGAGCTAGATGCATATTGGTGGAATCTGTTCAGTCTCAATCAAGGTATAGGGTCTTGTTCCGATCGTTCATGAGGATGTCTTTTGTTAATGATTGAGGTTTGTCATTTCGATAGAAATATGATATTTCTTCCCTGTTTGTTTCAGGTTATGGGGTTCTTAAGGATGTACATTATGGTAAACTCATGATATGTTGCAGAGAGGGGTGTTTATGGGCTGGGAGCCCAGTAATCATGATTGCTCATTTCTCCTGCCTGTGGAACTTTCGGTATTTGCTCGTTGATAGAAGTCGTGAGACTCACCAATCAGCTGGTTGGGATAAAGGGAACAGTTAAGGGTTGTTGGGAGGATCAGTCAGGTATCAGAAAGTCTCTGCAAAATATATGCATTGAAAATCCTGTTTGTTCGCAAGTTGTTATTAGGGGTTGATTATCAAGGTTGGGAATCGGTTATGAAGTCTTGAATCCTAAGGTTCTTTGTGAATGTCTCGAGTGCACTACAAGAAAAAGGCCATTTTACGATGCGCAAACAACGACACTCATTGATTTATGTTACGCAAAAAAGAGTGACATTAAAAAAGTGTTGTCTCTTCAAAACATTTAAGGATTTAGGTCACGCATTATTGCGTGCCCTTAAATTAATGTCTAAACAAAAAAAAACACAGAGGGCACCTATAATAAAATGTGTGTCGTCTAAAGATGTCGCTTTATAAATTTCAATGGAACGCGCGTTCCATCCGGGGGGGAAATGAAATCCTAAAAAATTAAAAAACCGCCCATCTTTTTCTTTTTTCCCTCTTGCCCTAATTATCGACGCTCCTTCCTTTCCCTCTTGTCTCTCTCAGTCGCTACCTAGGGTTTTTATTGAAAGCTTGAATCGATCGACTGAGGTAACCAAAGGTCAAGCGAACCTGGAAAGGGTTTTCAGTGAAATCTACTGTTACTCTTTGAAATCGGATCCAATCCTACCTTCGCCCCATCCTTCTTGTCTCTATCAGTTGCTACCTAGGGTTTTTCGTGAAAGCTTGAATCGGTCGACTATGGTAACTAAAGGGTAAGCGAACCGGGAAAGGGAAGCAATAAATCCAACACTCACTCTCAAATCGATTCTACTGGACAAGGTTTCAATTTGGGGCTCTCTACATTCATTGATTATACTTTCATTCAAGCTTACATCGGTTTTTTTGGTATCCAGTAACCGAAGCTTACATTCTCATCGATTCCACTTTCTCTCTCTGAACAAAAATATCTCATATTCTCTAAAAGCCCTAAACCAGCCACCGCCGGCTACCACCTCCACCATCGTTGATGTCGTCCTACTTCCCAGATGGTCTGTGTGTGTGCACGGCAAGACTGAACAGAAAATGGGAAAGAAAAGAAAAAACGAGCAGAAAGAGAGAAGAGAGTTTAAGGCTGAGGGGAGGATTCATCGGAGCTGTGGTACTGTTCTTAACGTATTTTCAAAATACAGTAACCTTATTATGGGCTTGAAGAAAAAGATGATCGTTTCCTCTGTTTTGCAGTTCTAGATGGTATGGGTTCGCCCTGATATGGTTTAGAGAAGTGTACGTTCATCTCTGAAGATCACAATCATACATACCTTATTTTGAATTTCGCTCTCTCTCTCTCTCGAAACATTTCCTCTATTCTTTCTTTCTAAAACCCTAGCCTATCATCATTGCAGAGGAATTTTCGTGTTGTTTTCCACCATCTGTGCTGGACCAGACCAATTTTCACTTGACCAAGCTTTGAATTGGAAAAAAAGAGTTGTGGTATTCATGGTGTGTTCTTGACAAAAGTTGCGAAATTATTAAGGTAAGCCGATTCTCATTGATAAATTCGAGGTATATGTATGATGAGTACAACAAATGAAATGATAATATGATTATACATGTGTTATAAGTTCGATTTTGAGTTATATATTGACAAGAGGCGGAATGCAAAACCATGATTTTGACCTAAAATAGTCAAATATGTGAATTGTTCATTAGTACAGATTGGATGGTTAAATTAATCGTTTATGATGATGTATTGACATTGAATGTCCTGTAACTAGGCTGTAGCCTTAGAAAGAATCCAACACAAATGTAGCTATTCCTGGAATACGTTTTAAAGGTCTATCAGATGTGGCCAACCAGCGGATCCAGAGCTCCGCAAGTCATGGGGATGGTGGAAGGTAAAGAAGTGGACGGTCCATATTTTAAACCGCCTCTATACCCGGTGAGTAGTCAGTCACATCATTCAGATGTTTCTTTAATTTAATTGTTTTTGGCTGGCTTTCAGACATGTATTTATTGTCTTCTTGCTCAAGTTTTTACTTTTTACTTTTTTCTCAGCTTTGGAGATTTAAAATTGCAAAACCCAGAGAACAAAGCTTTTGCACAACACTTCCAGAAGAACTATGCGGGAAAATTTTTAGAATGTCATCTCAACTTGTTGAATGCGCTGCGTATGGGTGACTATTTACCTGATAGAGTTTCCAACCTTATTTTGCAATACTTGAGCAACAGGTCTGTTTCATTTCATGTAATCCATGATTTAATACTTTCCTTTCCTTTCCTTTTCTTATCATATTCCTTTTGAAATCATCAACTTTTGTCCATCAGTCTTTCCAAAACTACGATGTACAATCTGCTCCAACCAAGACTTGATGTTGTTCTGTTTGAGATTAGCCTTCCACTTATGTGCTTCAATGATAATGATCAAGCCCTTTGGGAGGAAGATCCACATGAGTATGTGAGGAAGGGTTATGGTGAGTTAGTTTTTGACTCTCATTCTATATATATATATATATATATATATATATATATATATATATATATATATATATATATCAACCATACTTCCCATAATTTTCTGCAGATATTATTGAAGACCTATACAGTCCCAGTATCGCAGCAATGGACTTTGTGAGCGAACTGGTAAGAAAACGTGGAAAAGAGAACCTTCAAAAGTTCATATTATTTATTATGGAGATTTTTAAGAGGTATACATACCAATCTTCTAGCTATTTCATAAACAACATGTTAATTTGTCCCAACAATCATGGCCCTACTTTGACTGATTAGATATGAAGAGGCTTCAATTGAGATCAAGGCTTACAGACAAAAGGATGGGGCACTTCTTGCTATTGGAGCGCTGTGTGAAAAATTGAAACAGACTGAACCATATAAATCCGAGCTCGAGCCCATGTTAGCGCAGCATGTTTTCCTCGAGTTTGCCAGTCCTGTTGGTCATCTCAGAGCAAAGGTGAGCTAAGTTTCATAATACTTTATTTTCTATTTTTTTTTGTTTCCTTTCCTCTTCATTATATTATATTAATATTAATAAACAATAAAAGCAGAAAGTGTCGTTGCTGCGTGGAAACTTTAAAAAGTTATTTAATGTTGTGTGTGTGTGTGTTGGTTGATGATTGATGGTCATTATCTTGTTGTATCCCTATTTGGTGGAAACTTTAAATCTAAAACATTATTTTCAAATGTTAGGCTGCGTGGGTTGCCGGACAATATGCCCATATAAGTTTCTCTGACCCAAATAATTTCCGCAAAGCACTACAACTGATGGCCAAGGTAATATTATTTGTTGCAGAAAAAGGTTTTAATTGCATTAGAAAATGCTGGGATTTTTACATCGGGTGGTTTGGTCAAAGACAAGTTAAAAAGTAAAACTAACATTCCTTGTTTGATATGTATATGTGCTTGTGTGTAGGTTGGTGTCAAAAAGCTTGCAGATGTTCACTTTTCCCTCATTTGACCACTCACATTTGGCACATGTATTTTCAACTAACATTCCTTGTTTAATTCTTCTATTAATTATATTAGCATATTAATTTTTTGACTTTTATTTGATCAGGTCACAAAAATTATCGGAGCAGGGGTTCATTAGTCTTAAAGAATTATGAAAGACAAGATGCAACTCTACTTAGTTGGAATTTGATGTTTATCATCTTTTTGTATATCTTTTTAGTTTGTATAGCATTACTTTGTAGAAGGTGTCCCTTGATACGCAATGTAGTATTAGGTTATATAGTTATGGAAAACCTCTTAATAACAATGTACAATTAGATCCCCTTATCAATGTATTACAATTTTTTGACATGATGTTATTTGATGAAATTGATTGTTTTGTTATATATTTGTTTACATATTTTTGTATTATGTGTAAATGAGTATCGTAAAGACGCGTCACAAATGCATATCGTAAATGGTTATTGAAGTTTATGACACGTAAATGCGTGTCATCTTTATTTATGACAGGGGCTTCCTTGATACGCAATGCGTGTCATAAACACGCGCGTCGTAAGGTTACGACACGCAAATGCGTGCCGTCTTCCTTTATGACAGGCCTTCCTTGATACGCATTGGGTGTCATAACTGTGCGTCGTAAATGCGTGTCATAAATGCGCGTCGTAAATGCGCGTCGTAAATAAACGACGCGCAAAAGCGTGTCGTCTTTTGTTATGACATGGCCCTACTTTACACGCATTTGCGCGTCGTCTGAGCATTTTACGACACACATTGTGCGTCGTAAAATGCTGTTTTTCTAGTAGTGGTGATTAAGTGGGGTACACCTGAGCTGATAAGGGTTGGATGCAATATGAAAATTATTGGATTGGTCATCTTTGCTCGTAGGAGCAGTGGTTGATAATGGCATGTCAGGGAGTCAAGGGCTTATTTAAAGTTTTGGTACATCTTATGGATTTGGATTTGGAGAAAGTTCACGATCGATATGTTTTGAATATCCTTTCTGCATGTTTCAGTGGTGTCTCTAGTCAGGGACTAGAGGTAGGTTAATGAATGGATGCCGTGAATCAGTAGATTTCAGGTGAAATGCAAGTGTAAATCCTCGGATCTCAGGTTTTGAGTTATGCACCGAGTTGGTTTTTGGTCAGACTCGCGTTGGAAGTTGAGGGTGTATATATTTATGCAAGATCATACCTCAGAAGGTTATGGATTTAGGAATTTGTGTAATGGATTATCAGTTGGAAGGTCCAGGGCCAAAAAGAGATGTTTCCAGTGTGGATGGTAGAAAAGGCCCTTGTGATTATGCTTTGGAATGGTTCTACATGTGTGTAGCTCTAGCAAGTTATGGGACTACATAATTATAGCAGCATCGTATCGGTTCGGCAGTTAAGGAATCAGTGTCTTGTTCAACATTTGAATATTGAACTCCCATATTGTATCTTGTTGCTTATTGTGTTCATGAGTTCGTTAACTTTAGGGTGAGTCTTTTACTCGAAGGATTATCTAAGCTTTCTACCAAGTGAAAAGTTTCGGCAGCAAGGATCGGTCAGTGATTCTGTTTTCAATGGAAACAACAAGATAATCAAGGAATGGAAGTGTTATGGTCAGTCGAAATACGAAGTGGAATCGTAATGTCAGTGTTTCACCATGGGCTGTTTATCAGGGGGTCAGACAGAGTTTAGAATTTCATATTTCAGGCAGAATGGTAATGGTTATTCTTCAGGAGTAGTGGAAGAAGTGTTCTAGTGTCCAGTGTGACTAGGAGGTAGTAAGGAGTGATTTCGAGGATGAAATCTAATTTAACTTGGGGAGAGTTCTAACATCCATTTCCTTGTATGAATCGAATTAGGGTTTCGGAGGGTAAAAAGATTGGATTTTGGTTAAAAAGGGGTAGGCATGGAGGCTCACAACGTGAGGAGGGCCGCAAGAAGATTCTATCCGCAACCGAGCTCACGACGTGAGCAATAAGAGCTCACGACGTGAGGATCGCTGCAGCCCAAGCCCACGAAGTTTTAGAGTTTCCCATGTATTTAAGCCCCCTTAACTCGGTTTTAGGATTCATTTCACAGCCTCCACCTTCCCCTAACTCAGTAAAACCCTAACCCTAGCATTTCTTTGTGTTTCTTGAGCTTTTGGTGGAGTTTTGATGGTTTAAAGAGGAGGGGATCACCATGGAGGCATAATTGCAGTTTGAAAGCCTCATTTGCAACCTTTAGCTACGTTTTTGGACCAATGTGAATAATCAAGATCCAAGCTTTATGTTTCCTTGTTGCTAGATCTAAGGTTTTATGCATATTTATCCAAGATATTAAGAGTTGGAGTGTTGGGACTCCATAAAGTCGGCAACTTTATGGGTCCTTAGGGTCCCTAGATGCTTATATGTCATGGATCTGAAGTTTGGATGATGTTGGAGTTCATGCATGAGAATTGATCCTCTTTTTTCTCCATGAATTACCCATTTTGAGCTTGTGTCTTGTAATGGACATACAAGGCCTTAAATCCTCGATTTTTATGACCTTAGGAGTGTTAGGAAGCCTCCTGGAAAAGTTGGATTGGTAGCTTAATGGATTAAGTGGTTTTTGGATGAAAATGGCGTACAGACGGATCTCACGACATGAGGAAGATGCATGTCACGTTGTAAGGGTTGTAGCCTCGATTATTTTGTCTTGTAACGGCTCACGACGTGGGCTATAGATGGTCACGTTGTGAGGGCTTGCTGATCGTTGAATTTTTTACCAATGGTATTTTGGGTGGTGTTTGAGATGTGGTTTTGGGATTTGTTGGGCCACTCGATTTCTGATTTTGGGCTTTGAGTTACCATTTTGGTCTTTTTGGGCTTTTGTACTGGGCCTTGGTTTTGGGTCAAGTCAAGAAAAGGGTAGAATGGTCTTTTACCCTTTATGAAGTTGGATTATGGATTGGCCCTTGTATTTTGGATTATCGAGATAATTATTTATTAAGATTGTATTTTTGTTAGTTGGCGCCAGGTTACCGGGTTCAGCAACCCAAGCAGGCATTTGATTATCAACAGATTGATGTGAGTTTTCCTCACTGTACTTTTGGGTCGAAGGCACCAAGGTCGGCCCATTGGATTGTTATCTTGGATTATCGCATGTTGGTATGCTGTAGTGATCTGTTAGATCTGTATCCTGCTATATAGTATGATGATATGCTTAGTGATCTGTAAGATCTGCCTGATTGTGGGTTGAGACCGTACTGCTTTGTGTTGTCAGTCAACAAACCCGATAATGTTTATATCGATATGTTTGTTATGGTTTACTGGGCTTATATGTGTTTTGGATATGTATATGTCGACATGTTGTGTGTGGTTGGGTTGCGGCAGACCAGTGTAGACTGAAGGCCAAGAGTAGGGATGGCAATGGGTACGGGTATACCGGGTTTCGTCTTCCCCATCCCCATCCCCGAATCCCCATCCTCATCTCCATACCCTTCCCCATCCCCATCGGGGATTAAAAATCTATGGGTAACGGGGATCCCCAATGAGTAATCGGGGATTTTTCCCCGTTACAAAGTTTTGAACTTTTATGAAAAATAACTCATAATTATATATTAACCGACAAAACAAAAACTAACAGAATTAATATATAGCATTATAATCACTGAATGTCTTCAAACACGAACAATAACATTCAAGTTTATAAATTAAATCAATTTTTGCAACAAAAAAAGACATAAAAAGTCTTCTCAGAACTATACGTTTGATTATTAAAAAATCTTACTTTGTCTAATGAACATTTTCTTAAGCATTATTCAAAATAAAAACATAAATAATACTATATATATATATATGTATGTATATCGGGTACACATCGGGGCCGGTTTCGGGTACGGGTATGGGTACTCGACAGATAGAATCATCCCCATCCCGATCCCCGCTTTTTGTATTCGGGTAATACCCATCCCCGTCCCGGGTCAATTCGGGGATTTACCCGGTCAACTCGGGTTAGGGTTTTGGGTACCTATCAGGTACGGGTATTTTTGCCATCTCTACTCACATTAAGCACGATACGATATACATTTAGATGATGTTACTAGCTCAATGATACAATTTATTATATTCAAATTTATCGATTAAGTGGTCCATATGATTTGGTTACTAAGTCAAACATTTATTTCACGTGTGAAAATTGAAAATGAATAAACCTTTCATAAAATATTATTAATAATAATCCTACATTTTGAATGCATTTATTAGTGTTGTTGAACAATTTCTATTATGTAAATGCACCTTCCAACCTAGATGATGCACATTTTCATTATTTCTTTAGTTTATTCCCTTTAATAAGAAAGTTTCCAAAAAGACCCGTAGTCTTTGAATATTACCTTTCAATAGTAAGAAAAGAATAATACTATATATTAATATGTTAATGGATTATTCTAAGAAAAAAATCCACCACATACAATCATTGTATCTATAATATAAATATTATTTTATATATTATCTTATTATAAATATCATTATAAAATAAAATGCATTGTACCAAATTTCAAACAAAAATTTTCATTTTTTTAGGAGAGCAACATAATTATGTAATTATGTCAGATGGTCCGTTGGTGAACAACTTTTGAGATTTCACATCTGGACAAAAGATCATCCCCCTAAGCATGTTCATTGGGAATCTGAATGTAGGAGTGCAAACGAGATCCGATGCTAAAATTCAAAATAAGTGTCATCATGTCGCCTATATCTCTCTCATTGAACCGAACTCTGTTAAGGAGGCTTTGGATCATCTCGATTAGATAACTACGGTGTAAGAGTAGTCATTTTTGATGTAACTAAAATTACATTTGGAAGTTACCCTATTGGTTTTAAATTAATAAAAGATAATTTTATACCATATCGGGTTTAAATCATATTGTGTTGAAGTAATTACTTTCATATTTAAATTTTTCTTTGGATTTTTTTGTATATATGGAAAATATTAAATTTTCATTTTTATAATGTTATTTTTAATGAAAAAATATATAAAAGAATGCTTTTATTATATAGGTTAAAATTTCAAGACAAATTAAAATAATCAATTAATTTATTAAGAAATATTATTAAATTTTATATGTGTTTAAAGATAATATTAAAACAATGAGAGCTTCTTTTGAAAGTACTCTAGCATTAAATTATAAAATAATGAAAGCCACATCAAGCATGATACCATATACATTTAGATGATGTTACTAGTTCAACAATACAAATAATTTTATTCAAATTTAACGGGCGCAAATTAAGTGTTAAATAT